CCCATACAGTCTGTATCGGATCTGTATAGGATCCGATACAGTCCGTATCGGATCTGTATATGATCCTATACAGTCCGTATGGGATCTGTAGGGGGTCCTATGCAGTCCGTATCGGATCTGGAAAGGGTCTTATGCAGTCCGTATTGGATCTGTGTAGGATCCTATGCAGTCCGTATCGGATCTGTGTAGGATCCTATTCAGTCCGTATCAGATCTGTGTAGGATCCTATTCAGTCCGTATCAGATCTGTGAAGGATCGTATACAGTCCGTATCGGGTCTGTATAGGATCCGATACAGTCCGTATCGGATCTGTATAGGATCGTATACAGTCCGTATCGGATCTGTATAGGATCGTATACAGTCCGTATCGGATCTGTATAGGATCGTATACAGTCCGTATCGGATCTGTATAGGATCGTATACAGTCCGTATCGGATCTGTATAGGATCGTATACAGTCCGTATCGGATCTGTATAGGATCGTATACAGTCCGTATCGGATCTGTGTAGGATCGTATACAGTCCGTATCGGATCTGTATAGGATCGTATACAGTCCGTATCGGATCTGTATAGGATCGTATACAGTCCGTATCGGATCTGTATAGGATCGTATACAGTCCGTATCGGATCTGTATAGGATCGTATACAGTCCGTATCGGATCTGAATAGGATCCTATACAGTCCGTATCGGATCTGAATGGGATCCTATACAGTCCGTGTCGGATCTGTATAGGATCCTATACACGGACAGGACATTCTCACGGATCTGTACAGGTTCCTAAGGATCCCTAGGACATTCTCACGGATTCCTAGGACATTCCTAAGGATTCCTAAGAATTCCGAAGGATTCCCAGGTATTCCTAAAGATTCCTAGGAATTCCTTGCTTCGCCGGTGCACACATGCTTTTTGCCAGCAGGGATTCGTTGGTGCCAGAGAGGAGGTCCGCAGATGTTCACACAAATCGAATTCAATGGCGTTGTTGTGGGTGTTGTGGGGGGGGGGGGGGGGTCGTTGTTGTGGTTGTTGCCAAGGGGGGGTCGGGGGGGGTCCCGAGGGGTCGGCGCTGGCCGCCATTGCCTTAAGGCCAGGGCGCGGGGCGCCGACCCGTGACGGGTCGGCGCTGGCCGCCCTTGCTTTGTTGTTGTTGCTGTTGTTGTTCTCTCTTTTTTTTCCTCTTTCTCTCTCTCCTTTTCTTTCTCTCCCTTTCTCGGGGATGGGGAAGCCAGATTAGGGTCAGTCTGGCAGGAGCGGCGCGCGTCCCCCGGAGCCCGCTGCGTGCGCAGGAAATGTGGCCCTGGAAGAGCTCGATTCCTTTCTCCCTTCCTTCCACCTGCCTCTGACTCTGACGCTGCTTTGGAGTCAGCACCCCAGGAGCAAGAGGCGACGGTGACAGAGACGAAGGCCCCAGTGTCCGCGTCCGCGTGCGTCCTCCCCGCCCGACGCATGCCCATGACGGCACACCCCTCACACGGTTCGTGGCCCCGTATGGAGCTCCCCTTAAGGCCCCACTGGCCGCGTTTGCATGCGTCCCCCCCGCCCACCGCATGCCCATCTCGGCATACCCCTCTCACGTTTCGTGGCCCCGTATGGAGCTCCGCCTAAGGCCCCACTGGCCGCGTTTGCATGCGTCCCCCCCGCCCACCCCATGCCCATCTCGGCATACCCCTCTCACGTTTCGTGGCCCCACAGGGAGCTCCACGGAAGGCCCCATTGTCCGCGTCCACATGCGTTCTCCCCGCCCACCGCATGCCCATTTCGGTACATCTCTCACACGTTTCGTGGCCCCATAAGGAGCTCCACCCTCCCCGCGAACCACATGCCCCTTTCGGCACACCCCTCACACGATTCGTTGCCCCATACGGAGTTTCACCGAAGGCCCCAGTGGCCGCGTCCGCATGCGTTCTCCCCGCCCACCGCATGCCCATTTCAGCACATTTATCACACGGTTCGTGGCCCCATAGGAAGTTCCACCGAAGGCCCCAGTGCCCCCCGTCCACATGCATTCCCCCCACCCAGTTCGGCACACCCTTCACACGTTTCGTGGCCCCATTGGGAGCTCCACCGAAGATGATATTCACAACTGCGTTACCTATACGACCATCCTTCGGGTGATAAGAAGGTTCGGGGGGGGGGAGGAACCAACGTCTCACTCGATCGATCTCACTATCGATCTCACTATCGGTCTCGCTCGATCGATCTCACTCGATCGATCTCACAATCGATCTCACTCGATCTATTTCATTCGATCGATCTCACAATCGATATGACTACTGATCTCACAATCGATCTCACTATCGAGCTCATTATCGATCTCACAATCGATATCACATTCGTTTTTACGATTGATACCACTATCGATATCACAATCGATCTCACAATCAACGTCATCATCATCATCAACATCATCGTCATCAACGTTATCATCATCATCATCATCATCATCATCGGGACACCACCATCATCATCACCTCATCACCATCACCATCAACATCATCATCACCATCATCATCATCACCATCATCATTCTCATCATCATCATTGGGACACCATCATTGTCACCATCATCACCATCACCATCAACATCATCATCATCATCATCATCATCGGACACCATTATCATCATCGGAGCACCATCATCATCATCGTCATCATCTCATCATCATCAACATCATGAACAACATCACCAACAACATCACCATGATCGGGGTACCATCATCATCAGCAACATCATCATCAACATCATCATCATCATCGGGACAACATCATCATCGTAACCATCATCATCACCATCATCACCATCATCATCATTATCATCGGGACACCATCATCATCAACATCAGCATCATCATCATCACCAGCATCGGGCCACCAGCATCAAATTCATTATCATCACCTCATCATCTTTCTCATCATCATCATCATCGGGACACCATCATCGTCATCATCATCAACATTATCATCATTGGGACACCATCATCGTCACCATTATTATCGACAGCATCATCATCAACCTCATCATCATCATCATCATCATCATCATCATCATCGGGTCACCATGATCATCATCATCTTCAGTATCATCATCATCATCATCTCATCATCACCATCTCATCATCATCAACATCATTGTGATCATCAGGATCATCATCATCATCATCATCATCATCATCATCATCGGGACACCATCATCATCACCAGCAACATCATCATCAATCTAATCATCATCATCATCACCGGGACACCATCATCATCACTATCTCCATCATCATCATCATCAACATCGTCAACATCATCATCATCATCATCATCATCGGGACACCATCATCATCACCATCACCATCATCAACATCATCATCATCATCAACAGCATCAACAGTATCATCAACACGATCATCATCATCATCATCATCATCATCATCATCATCATCATCATCATCATCATCATCATCATCATCATCATCATCATCATCATCATCATCATCATCATCATCGGGACACCGACGGGACACCGGCGGGACACCGGCGGGACACCGCGCGGCACCGGCCCCCGGCAAGGAAACATTTGGTCCGGCCGCGCCTCAGCCAGAGGCGGGACACCGGCGGAACACCGCGCGGCACCGGCCCCCAGAGAGGAATCATTTGGTCCGGCCGCGCCTCAGCCGGAGGAGACCTTCTTTTCGCCCGCCCACGCAGCTTCGCCTGCCCGCACGCACGGCACGCACGAACACGAAACCGAAACCGATTGCCCGGTAGGGGGGCTCTCCGTTCCTTTTCGATCTCACCCCCTCACTTCCGATTCACAACTGCATATGGTTGGGTCCTTCGCCAGGCTAATTCGTCCAACATTCACCTGTAGGAGGACACGCCTGACCTAAACATAGCTCCAGGGGTGTCAGAACGCTCCCAGAGCGTTCCAGCACGCTCTGGAACGGCCGCGGCGCCCGACGCATCCTCCAGAACCGCTGGGCCTCAGAGATTCCCGATGTATCCCTGTCCGATTTTGTCCCTGTCCTGGCTTCGACGTGGCCCCCTTGGCCCGAGGCCGAGCTCCTGGCTGCGGGGTGCAGTCCTGTGGGCACCCCGACACGAGCGTGGGGCTCGTCTGCTGCAGCGAGCCCTCGCGGCAGAGGGGAGGGGGGTGGCAGTAGGGTGCACGAGCGGCCAGAGTGAGACCGCCGCTCCCCTCTCCCCCGAAGAAAAAAAATCGCATTCCACCTCTCCCTCCAGCCTCCAGCCTCCCTCCTCCAGCCTTCCGCCCCCTGCGCGCCTCGGAGGTATATTCTCAGCACGCGGATGGTTTTTTCGATTGGATCTCGAGACTTAGAGCAACTACAGAGCGCTCTCCAGCAAACCATTGGATCGGCAATCGTGGAAAGCATCAGTCTGCAGCATACCTCGACCTCTGCCGGCCTCTTGCTTTTATGCTCGAATCTTCGACCCTCATCAACATTACTCCGCGCTGCCTCCCACGCGCTGGGAACGTGGACTCGGGTCTTTGCTGGCCCTCAGCCCTGATGCTTGGACCAAGCTGCTTACGGAAGAGCCGTGAATGCTGCTACGTCTGCTTACTCGTATCCCGTATCCCGCCTCTCCGCCCTCACGCGCCCACCTCCCTCCACCTCAGACCCCCCCCCTCGTGGCTGGCGTCTCAGGAGGCAGGGGCCTCCTTCAAGCAGGAGATCGACTGCAGCACGGATGCACCCCACAAGTCCTCCTCCTCCTCCTCCGCCTCCGCCTCCTCCTCCTCCTCTTTCTCCTCCTCCTCCTCCTCCTCCTCCTCTCCTCGTCCCCTCCTCCTCCCCCTCCTCCTCCCCTCCTCCTCCTCCTCCTCCTCCTTCTCCTCATCCTCCTCCTCC